CTGCGCTGTCTAAAGGCCAATTCTTAAGAAATTCAGCTTTATAATCAAATCTGCTGTTGTTGTTTTTTTGGCGATGTGTGGCTCCCCTAATTGCACCAAAAATATATTTCCTGCATGGTGAGAGATGGTGTTTGGTGGTGTTTTTTGTGTGTGGCTGAGGCTCCATCTTGAGCCCTCTGCAGAGCTGTGTGTCTGTTTGAATATGTGTGTGTGTGTGTGTGTGTGTGTGTGTGTGTGTGTGTGTGTGTGTGTGTGTGTGTGTGTGTGTGCATACGCATGCATCAGTTTGTCATAAACAGCTGCTGCTGCAGTACCTGGGTTTCCGTGAACTGTCAAATGCACCCGTCTACTGTTTTTAAACGATCATTGGCTCTGCACAGTAAATGAAAATAAAAAATGTTCAGACCGAGTCGGATACAGTGCGTTGATTTCCTCCCGACTTCATTGGAATTATTTTTCAGTGACGCAAGGAAAGCAGCAAAATAGGCCCCAAAAATGTGGTTCAGTATAAATATAAAGAAATATAATAAATAATTATAAAAAATAATAAAACTGTAAATTGGTTGCATGGGAATGTATTAAGGGCTTTAAAATGTGATGGCCCCCAACTCTCAAAAATAACAATCCACATTCTAATTAATTGCAATTAAAAAATGGTGTCATGCTGTTGTTCATTGATATTTAACTAGTGCCATAAAGCTGTGTAATGTTGTATTTTACATTTCCTGTACCATAATATCTTCCAGGTTTTCCTTCTGTGGTAACTGACGACATTTTTCCTCTTCCCCCCTCCTCCTCCTCCTCCTCCTCCTCCTCCTCTTCCTCTTTCTCTCTTGCAGTTCAAGAGAATGTTGAATCGGGAGTTGACGCACCTATCGGAGATGAGTCGGTCTGGAAATCAGGTTTCAGAATTCATCTCCAACACCTTCCTAGGTAAATGAAAGTCTTGTGAACATGTACTCAAAAAGAAAATCACAGCACATAATTCACCACTTTGGATTTTTTTCAAAATAAAAGCACCACAGGCTGTACACAAAACAAATAAACAAATATGCATTGGTCAACACATAAACCCCACTTTTCTGTCTTGCTGCAATGTTTTCTTGGAGGGTTCAGTGTGTTAGAAGATGTTTAGCCGTGCAAGTTGCTCTGGCTGGTTCTTCTGTGGGGGCGTTCCATAAAGCACTGCGCCATTTAGCTTTTGTTTTTGGAGGGTCATAGCGCTTAAAAATGGCCGTCCAATGCAAGTAAACAATCATCCTTTAAAAAAGTTTTATGACAGAAAGTGCATATAGGGTGGCTGGTCACTTTAAAAGGAGACTTTTATTACTTTTATTATTACTTGTATTTATTATTATTTTATTTCATTAACTAAATATATATGCAATTCTATTGTCTTCTCAAACATTTTCACAGATCTTTTTAGTTTCTGATACAAAAACACAATACAGTCACGGTCAGGTTTTAAAATGTGAAGTTTGATATTTCTAGGAAAGGACAGACGTGTGAATGAGTTAAAATGTGATATAAATGGAGAAATAAAAATGATAAAGGCTGACAGACAGAACGGCCATTGATGCTGTTTAGAGTATTTATAGAATCTTGCGATCGATTGGTCATCCTGAGCCAGTGTAGGGTTGTCAGTGGATCCTCACCGCCTGATCTTAATGAGCAGGAGGCTGGGGTGAGGAGAGACAGAGAAGAAGCTAAAAGGGCGAGGGAGGGAGTTTGACTGCAGTGGAGGAGAAAGCCGAGGTACGGAGGAACCCCCCTTTTGCTGAGCCGGGCAGATCGGGTGACTCATCACCACCTTAATGCATCTTCGTCAGCAGGGACACCTTGTTGTTGTTGTCTCTCTCTACGTCTCCTTGCCCCCTCTGTCTCTGACCTGAGGAGCCCGGCGGAGGTTTGATAAAGATATGAGAATGACCCTGCTGACTGTAGAATGGAAAAACACAGAAAATCAATGAAGAAGAACTGGAAAAAAATAGCTGAAGCTTCAAATCTTGTTTGGCTCAGTTGACCAGTAGACTGTTGACCGCTCATATGACATGACATTTTTCCTGTCGTATGCCAATTTAAAAAAAGATTAGTTTTAAAACCACAGCTTTATTTTACCTTATTTTATTGTAAACAAGCTAGTATACAGACATCCCAAAGTGAAGCATCAAAGGCATTTTCAGACCAGATTTTCTGACCTACCAGTTTGGATTTATTTAAACTGCAACATGCTGCCCGTCCACGTGTCCCCCCCCCCCCCCGTCCCCCCGCCACAGCTGTCCTGACTGCATAATTCTGTCATAATTCGCTTTGATCGGCCAGCAGCACAGAAACACTTACCTTAGGGAATATACTACAGAGGAGTATCTGCATCCACACCTTCCCTAATGCATCTGCGTCTCTGACAAGAGAGCATGTTGAGGAAGGATGAAAAGGATGAGAATGAAAAATCTAAATAAACGTGGGAGGTGAGAGAGGAGAGAGCAGGGAGGCGGGAGAGAGATTTCTAATTCTTCTGCGCAAATCAGGTTTCTAAAAACCTGCAAAGGAAAGAGGGAGGAAAACTACAAGAGGGGACTAGCCAAGGGACTATCCACACAGCAGCATCTTTTGCACTATTCACCACTGCACTGTTTCATATTTAGTCATGTAAATATTAGTCTTTTCTTATTATGTTTATTGTTGATATTTAATGTTGTACCTGTACATAAGAGAGCACAGTTCACTGAAGTTAAATTCCTTGTGTGAGTCAGCATACCTGGCCAATAAATCTGATTCTGATTCAGCAGAGCAAACTGAAACAGAGAGACTTTGTGTAGTCCAGAGTAGACCTCTACCTTAGCAGGATGATAGGAATGAACTTGTCTGATTACAGCAGTGGTGATAATGATGGCTTGATATAAATTAGAGGGCGATATATTGCCGTTTCCCCACGCAGCACATGTCTGAGAGCGCTTAATTGCCCTTTCTCGTTTACCACTGGAGGACGAGACGTCGAGAAAAAACAGAGGAAACAGTGCAAGAAGAGAGGGAGAGAGAGAGGGGAGTGCATGCAAGTGAAAGTGATTATTTGAATTAAAGCTGGTAATTGAATAACCCTCCACAGGGGAAGGCCTGATAGGCCGGCGATGAGCTGAGTGCGGGGCTCACATACATGCCGATAGCTGGTCCCTGCTGGGTTTCATTCACTTCTTCTTTATTTGATTTTTTGGTTATTTCAAGAAACTCGGCCTAGTTTTCAGTTTGGGGTGTTTTTTTTATAGTGAGAAGAGAAATTAAAGTTGTTTTCCTTGCGTTCCACTTTGTACTCACCATATTTGTAGCCAGACCGACTGTGTTTGAACAGACCTACTGAACACATAAATTCAGATCTATACCGGTTGATTTGATAAAGCGGTGAAAGATGCAGCAGCTTATTGAATGAGCGACTTTATAGAGCAGCCTTAACTGTGTTGGAGCCTCAGTCTCTCAGTCTGTCAATGGACTGACCTACAAGACTGAAAGGAACAGAAGATGAGACTCCCGCTGAGATGCAGCTGAGAAAGAAAGTGCTGCAGGAGGGGAGGGCTCAGAGAGAGACTGCAGGTGGAGGACAGGGGTGTGAATGGAGGGAGAAATGATGAATGAGTACGTTTTTAAGTAAATCTCACATCATTTAAGCAGCTGCAGGTGTGCACCTTCTCAGGCAGCCTACCACGTACTCTGTTTTGGTTGAGACCGGGATTAGAACCCTGAATAATTTAGGAATTTCAACCACTTCTCCTCACAACATCAAAAACAAAATCCAACATATCTCCTTTTTTCCCCCCCTCCCTCAGACAAGCAGAACGATGTGGAGATCCCGTCGCCGATGTCCAAGACGCGAGAGAAGAAGAAGCAGCAGCTGATGACACAGATCAGCGGGGTCAAGAAGATCTCCCACGGGCCCTCGCTCTCCAGCAGCAGCGTCTCGCGCTTCGGCGTCAAGACCGACAAGGAGGAGCTGCTGTCCAAGGAGTTGGAGGACCTCAACAAGTGGGGCCTGAACATCTTCACCGTCTCCGAGTACTCGCACAACCGGCCTCTCACCTGCATCATGTACGCCATCTTCCAGGTACGAACGACATCAAGGAAATCTGCTGCTGTCTTTTTTTTAATTTATTTTGATTTCTATCAAACATAACACCTGTTCCCATCCCTACCTTCTTTGTTTTTCCAGGAGCGAGACCTGTTGAAGACATTTAAGATCCCAATGGATACATTTGTGGCCTACATGATGACGTTGGAAGATCACTACCATTCAGATGTGGCCTACCACAACAGCCTGCACGCTGCTGATGTAGCCCAATCCACACACATCCTCCTCTCCACTCCGGCCCTGGATGTAAGTCACACTCTAAAGTACTCAGTTGTATCTCACTTCTCTACGGTAATAGAGGAAAACTAAATTAGAGCAGTGAGTTCTTACATCATCCCGTGTGCCACTTTCTTGGCTCGCCATGCCCTGCAACATATCCTTCCATTCAGTCATCTTTTCCCTGCTCTCTCTGCTCACATCACTTTACTCCTCCATTTTCCTCCACGCCTGCTTTGTTAGAATGTTCCTGCATGCTCTTCTTAGGTAAGAGTTACAGCTGGAAAGAAACAGTCAGGTCAGAACGCCCCGCTCTTTCATCTACTGAAGCTTAGCAGACAGTGTTGCACTATTTTGGAGTTATAGAGATGATTTGGAGAGGAATGGCTAGTTTATTAGTTTGGTTCAAGCAAGCGTGACAGACACAGAAACGCGTTTGAAAACCATTTTCAAGTAAATCTTGTCCAGAAAACTGCCTCGTATGACCCTGTGTCTCTTTTTTTTTTTGCCATCAAACTGTTTTTATCTTCAGCGATAGTTAAATGTTTCCCTTCCTTTCTTTCTCTCTTCCAGGCCGTCTTCACAGATCTCGAGATCCTCGCAGCCATCTTTGCTGCAGCTATCCATGATGTTGACCATCCTGGAGTATCAAACCAATTCCTTATTAATACCAGTAAGTCAAAAAAACAGGAGACATTTTTATTAAATTTATTGTTTCTGTTTAAAACAAAGAAAGAATACATTTTGTTTCTTTTGGAAACCTAAGCAGGAGCAGTCATGGTATTTGGCAAAAGTATTAAAATCTCTTTTTTAACTTCTTTCCAGACTCGGAGCTGGCGTTGATGTACAACGATGAGTCCGTGCTGGAGAACCATCACCTGGCTGTGGGATTTAAACTGCTGCAGGAAGACAACTGTGATATCTTCCAGAACCTCACCAAGAAACAGAGACAGTCCCTGCGCAAGATGGTCATTGACATGGTAAGATAGCCTAAGCCTTATTTATTTATTTTTTATATATTATTCTGTCATCTGGACTTAAATCCAAATCTTTCTGGAATCTGAGCATGGTGTTTTTTTTGGGGTGTTCATTAGGTTTTGGCCACTGACATGTCCAAACACATGAGTCTGCTGGCTGATCTGAAGACTATGGTGGAGACAAAGAAGGTGACGAGCTCTGGAGTGCTGCTGCTGGACAATTACACCGACAGGATACAGGTACGGGTCTTTTTTTTTCTTTTATTTCTTTTTTACAAAATGAAAGAAAAATGTCATCACTTGTAAAATGGGAAATACCACCAACAAAATAAGGGACCCAATATGTTCCAGTGTTTAAGCTCTCTTTGACTTGCTTTTAAATAGCTCAAATCAATAGTCAGTGCTGGTGGAGGTTACTCAGCCGATGGTCATTACTTGACCTCTGCTCCTGCTGTCACTCCTCTTCTCACTCCATTCATCGTCCTTTAAGGGTTAACTGACTCCCTGAACACATTAAGTCTAATCACTGTCCAGAACTTATTCTTTATTAGACGACCTCTTTTTAATGAAAAACACAGAAGAATAAAGCTGAAATACAGATATGACTGTATTGTTTATGGATGTTATATTTACTGCTCGTTGAAGAGGCTTGTTTTTGTTTTTTCTTCAAATGATGAAAGATTCTTTAAAACAAATGTTGGGTATAAGAAAAAATAAAGTATGGTCATTTTTGGAGGTAAAAAAAGATAAGCACAAATTGAGAAATAAAGACGTGTACTTATTGCCTTTGTGTCTTATTGATAGGTGCTGAGGAACATGGTGCACTGTGCTGACCTGAGTAACCCCACCAAGTCCCTGGAGCTGTATCGTCAGTGGACTGATCGGATAATGGAGGAGTTCTTCCACCAGGGAGACCGAGAGAGGGAGAGGGGGATGGAGATCAGCCCGATGTGTGATAAACACACAGCTTCAGTGGAGAAGAGCCAGGTAGGCAGCCAGAGACATAGGAACTCAATTAAGGATATAAAGAGATTAAAACATTTACATTTTCAATGTGTAGTTCTGCTTCTGAGTTTTTCCTCTTATTCCTTCCCCAGGTGGGTTTCATAGATTACATCGTACACCCTCTGTGGGAGACCTGGGCTGATCTGGTTCACCCCGATGCCCAGGACATCCTGGACACACTGGAGGACAACAGGAACTGGTACCAGAGCATGATCCCCCAGAGCCCCTCCCCGCCCTTCTACGACCAGGGAACGCACGGGGGAAACACGGGCGGTCAAGGAGGTGGAGAAAAATTCCAGTTTGAGCTGACCCTAGAGGAGGAGGACTTGGACGGAATAGAGAAAGATGGAGATGATGAGGAGGAGGAGGAAGAAGAAGAAGAAGAGGAGGAAGAAGAAGAAGAGGAGGATAGTTTAGGAGATTCTCGTTCCCCTCCTCTGGACTATTTGGACAGTCAGGATCAGGAGGAAGACAGCAACATGATGGAGCCGGCAATAGAGATTGTGACGCACGAGGCATCACCTACAGACACATAGGGGCTTCCATCATCGCGCTCACCAAATGGTGATTTGGAAGCTTTTTGAAAAGGGGGAGATCCTCTTGCGGCTGTGCTTTTTAGAAAAGCCCACAGGCAAGGGCTTTAGTTTTCGTCCCCGCAAAGGGGGGCGTCTTGCACTTGGGTGTTTGAAGCCAGCGGACAGTTTGAGCGGAGCGGCTTCAGAGTTCTCAGGAAATAACGGCTGCGAACATTTTAGTCTTGATGATGGACGGGCAAGGCTGAGGGTGGAACTTGAAGGATTTCGGCCAGTGGGGAGAAAAGGTTCCTTTTTCTTTTTCTGGACTGGCATTAAAAGGACACAAATCGACACTACTGAGAGAAGTTTTGTACCTTAAGACTTTTTTTTTTTTTACATTCAAAGATCTAGAAGTAGCATAGAGTAAGATCTACTGATGAAGACACATTTGTATAGAAGAGAAAGTGTTTACTTTTTTCCTGTACCATTTGTCAAAGGACTTTTGTGTGCCTTTTTTTACTATTGTCTTTATAATAGTTTTTTATTTATTGAACACTCTAGTATGTCTGTGACTTTTTTTTTTTTCTATCTGAAAGAGCAAAATCTTTTTGTATGTTAAAAAGAGAACAGTCTTCCATGTATTGGGCAATAGAGAAATCCAAACAAACGTCAACAAACAAACTCATCAACATAGGGAAACAGGAACACCAACATTTGACCAACACTCATCTTTTTATCTCGTTTGTTTTCCGATCAGAGCACAATGTTTTCCTTGGAATTCAGACGCTTATGTTGCATGTTAAGTTTGTTACTGTCGGTGATGCATTGCCTATTTTCATACTCCCATCTTTTCTACTTTTCTTTTAAATGGTCTGCAGATTATTTGGGATTCCAACCTTTTTCACACCAAAGCAAGACTTTGAATGCTTAAATGCTCAAATTTTGAAATCCTATGCTTGCAACTATGGTGTAAAAATACATGATTTATAAAAATCATGCATCAAATTGTTGTTTTCGTGGTGTGAAATAGACGCACAGGTCCTGTTAAAACCAAAACTCCCACTAAAGAGCCACCAAAGTTCAAAGTTGTTATGATTATCAGTCTCTGAGAGAATAAGAAATAAAGTCTGACAAGGACTATTCTATTCTATTCTATCTATATAGAATCTATATAGCCCACATGTATGCTGCAGTCTTAATAATCATGTTAGTAAGAGCGGGCCTTAACCCTAGACTGGGTCTGATGTAACGCCCCCCTCCTCCTGCCCCTCTGCAATCAGGCCCAGACCATGATGATGATTAAAGGTGCTCATACAGCTGCCTGTCTGAAAGGCGCTCTCAGACCCTCATCAGCGCCACCATTCACGTGGTTTACAAACCCCTCTGGGCTTCACAGACACGACCCCAAAAACAATCAGGCCAGCTATTTCTTCCTCACCATTAAAAAAAAATCCCTCAAGGGCAGCGGCTGCTCATTGACGTCAATTGATTTTTTTTTTTTTTAAATCCCTCCCCCTTCACTGTATCAGGTTTCCAGGACAGTGGGATTATTAGGATTTGGCAGAGATGGAATTGCTGGATTCAGCGTGGCAGACTTTCCCCCTGATATGAGAGAAAGGAATAATTAGGTGCTCTATTTTTAAAACATTGAAAGAAATCGCGACAGAAGCGTTTGGGAATATGGTTTAAAAATGGTTTGCAGACTATACATTCCTGCTCCTGTTTATGGATGTTCTTAATACATCTATAAATCTGTTCATTTTCATAATGGTTTACTGATAAACTCAAAGGTACTTCATCTAATTTCACTCCAGCATGAGTAAGTGTGCAGTACGTATGAATGGAAGTGTGTGTGTGTGTGTGTGTGTGTGTTTGGATGTGTTTCGTAATCAGGCCTCACCCCCCCCCCCCCCCTTCCATCACTCCACACCTTTGTCTCTACTGTTTGTTGCTAGGAGCTCAAGTTGGTCCTTTTTGCTGTTTATAACAGTGTGTATTTATTCTCTACTTTAAGCTTTGTATATAAGAAATACTGGTTCAGTGTAAAATCTATTTTAATTTATATGCACTTGCATTACCTGGAAGTGGTGGTGTCTTATGTGTAGAAGGCTCCAGATTAGAGTCTTTTTTATACGTGTATTATGTTTTTATATAAATATATATAAATATATCTAAGTATATATTCGCACAATGTTTTGAGTAACCAGCAGAGCAGAAGCTAAAGAGACATGTTGCTGCTGTCAAATGAAAATGTTGTAACTTCAAAATTAAACATAGAATCCTCTTTTAACTCTTTATTCAGCGTATTGTGCAAAGATATTGAACTTTTGCATCACTTTGGATTCTTAAAAAACAGATCAAGCATCATTTTATAGATTTTGGTCACATTTCTTAAAACCTAAATTAGACTAAGGACTTTGAATTCCCTATTTTGATCATGAAGTGTTTTGTGTTTGTGCTTGGACACAAATCAATTTGAGTTCTTTTGAAGCTCCAATGTTTTTACCTGACAGCAGCAAATTGAAAACCCAGAGGCCACATAGAGGACATGTTAAACTGTGTAGGATAAAGGATACATAAAAGCTAGCTAAGACAGCTCGATGCTTGGTATCAAGAACACAATCAGCTCATTTTCTCTCTAAGCTTTTCCATCCAGCATTTGAATGCAGATTGCTGATACACGAGAAACAGGTTCAACTGACAAACAGGAAGCGATTGACTCCTTTTACACTTGACGCACTTCATGTAAAAGTAGATAACACGGGGAGCGTATTGGTAGCATGCTTCAATACTCCCTGCACTGATGTGAATCGTTCTGAATTAACAACAAAACATGATCTTATGTAACCTGATTGTGCTCATGTGTGAACTCTCTCTGACCAAACGTGTTAGCAGTTTTGAGATTCAGATGTGTCAGTATTGACATTGTTTTTCTATGTTGGAGCTTTGTTTGGTCCTAGTTGTGTCCAAATGGTTAGCCAGGTTTAGCACTATCTGCATGAGAGATGGTTTTTTTTTTATTGTCAATAATATGTTCCAAGTCCGCCAGTTGTTGGCAGGTGGGTTATTCAATGTTTCACACAATGTATGGTATTATATTGTATATTGTGTTCAAAAATAAATCTGAAATACTTTTTCTATTAAGTGATTAAAAGAAAAGCATGAATATATTCCGTCTGTTTTTGCTGTTTTTTTCCCTTTAAAGGCTTTATATGTGATTTTTTGATCCAGCAGATGTCGCCCTTGAGCACCAGCATGAAACCAAAACAACTTGGTGCATTGTTGTGTTAGCATGCTAATGCTAGCGATCTTTATTATGCTGGTATCTTCACACTGCATGTAAATTTACCTGAAATGAGCGTGATCTAGAAACACAGTTAAGCAGTGAGTACAGTATGTTATTCTTCTTTTCTCTAGTCCCTCAATTAAACAACTTTTATACACGAGGGGAGGAGTCAGCCGGCCGTCCTGGCGATGTAAACAAAGTGAGATAGGACTCTGAAAACTCTGAAAGCATCACAGACAGTGGGACTCGGGTGTTACACCCATTGTAGACAGTCATGACTCACAGAGTTATTTTCAGAGGATATACTTGATTTATATTATATTTAAGTGTGAAAAATCACATAAAAACTTTAAGTTCCCTCAGTTGATCAACCTGATCTTAATAAAATGTGACAGCCACTAAAGGTCAGCTAACAGTTCAGCTCATTCTGTGAGAATAAAAACAACATCATCAAACCTCTAAGCCCAGGACCGTTCTGAAAATTAAAAAAACATTTTTTTCATGTTGTTTATAAGTATATTTACACTATTACTGTTAATTCCCTTAAATGTCACTCTGTTGCAGCAGTAAATAGACTTCTCTCTTTAATGTGCAAAAATAAACACACATATACAGTGCTCATCTTCCTACATGTTGATACACACACACACCGAGGCAACAGATGCCTATAGGCACACATAAGACATTGGCACTTCAAGTTATTCATCAGTTTTTTTAGCAGCTAGATGCATGCATAGGGTTCAATGTAATCATTGATAACTGCTCTGACATGAGGAGGAGGCGGGGCCCTTTGTTCAGTGATCCTGGCTGCCTGGCTCGGGGAGGTAAGCCTCACAGTGGAACAGGTTGAAGTCCAGTATTCAATCTACATTGTTTCAGTCAAGAATTACCATTACCCTACTTTTATTAAACCACCAACGCGGCTGGTATGTTGAACACATTCCAGCATGTGGGTGGCTAATTACCAACTCTAATACATAATGATTTTGTACTCAGACCAGTATTAGAGAACAAACCATATGACGTGTTTTTGTAGGCCAACCAGGAAGTAGCGTCACCATGAGGTCTAATGAGAATCCTCCTCTGGGATGTTTTCAATGGATTTTGGATCATTGCAGAAAATAATCTCTGTGACAAACACACGTTTCTGAAGCGTAGGCGTTTTGTTCAGCAGGATAATCTTCACAGATGAACGCCATTTTTATGATGTTTGAAGCGTTAATGCGGCCGACAGAAGTAAAAAGCTAACGTTATGCTACAAGCTAACTACATCACGGTGGGATGATTGTGACATCACTAGCGTTATGCTTCAGACGATCTCCGATAAACTAATCCACGTAGCTTAATAAATAGTTTACTAACATAATATTCACCTTAACTTAAAGATTAAAGCTACAGGAGACATCTCCGACTAGTGAGAGAGTTCCCGCCCTCTGTGTCCGGCGTGATGACCTTTAATGTCCCCGACAACCGCTGTAGTCACATTTAGCCGCTTGTTAGCAACCGCCTTTTTAAAGACGAGTAAAAACTTCAAACTTCACAAGTGGAGGTATTACCTAACGTAGTTTATGTGCTCTAACAAAACGCCAACATCTCTTCAGCTTGTGTTAACCACAGACCTTATTTCAGGCGAGAGAATAACATGTTTATATGTTTTTTTTCCATATTAAATTTCCAATCTGTGTCTACAGTAAGTATGAGTATTTGGTTTTCCAGGGATAAATTATGAGAATCGTTCAACCTCTGTAAATGTATCTGAATGCTCTGTAGTCATGAATATAACCCCCCCAGTCCTGTTCCTTTTCAGAGCCCCCTGTAGTGACTCCCCACTGACATTAACTGGATTATTCTGGCAGTAAATTTGTTTTATTCGCTACATAATGAAGTCGGTTCATTTAAAACATGGAAACGTGCACACAGCCGAGGTGAGAAGCCTGATGAAGCAGTATTTCCAGGAATGCTCTGTAAGCCTGTCATTTTCAGACTGCTTGACTGGAGGGTTTTTAGGGTTTAGTGGAACACACCGTTGGGCAATTAGTAAATTGTTTTTTGTTTTGTTTATTGCAACAATGGGGCTTGTTTTGTTCAGTGCTCACAGCCTTATGTCATTGCCAGTGTTTAAACAGAGCATGGGCGGTTTTAGGCAGGGGCCAACAGGGGCCAGTGGCCCCCCCTGTGGCCACCCCTCCAAAAGGAAGAGCCCCCCCAACACATACACAGTATTTGACTCGACAACCGGACAATCTATATTAAATACTGTTACTGAAACAAATATAAATCATGGTATTTTATGTTGTGGTATTTAAAGTCTTTCTATGTGATTTTTCACACTTAAATGTAGAAATCAAGTATATCGTCTGAAAATAACTCTGTGAGTCATGACTGTCTACAATGGGTGTAACACCCGAGTCCCACTGTCTGTGATGTTTTCAGAGTTTTCACAGTCTATCTTCAATTTGTTTACATCGCCAGGACGGCCGGCTGACTCCTCCCCTTGAGTATAAAAGTTGTTTAATTGAGGGACTAGAGAAAAGAAGAATAACATACTGTACTCACTGCTTAACTGTGTTTCTAGATCACGCTCATTTCAGGTAAATTTACATGCAGTGTGAAGATACCAGCATAATAAAGATCACTAGCATTAGCATGCTAACACAACAATGCAGCGTGAGTTGTTTTGGTTTCATGCTGGTGCTCAAGGGCGACATCTGCTGGATCAAAAAATCACATATAAAGTATTCAAAGATGTGCTGTATTATTTGGCATAATATATACATCTTTGTCTATTTTTCACCTGGGTTTAATGTTCCACTGACAAAACAACTGGCCCCAGTTTGGCCCCCTCAGTAAAAGTGGTCTAGAACCGCCACTGAAACAGAGTACGTGTCATTTGGTAAGAGCAAATGAGTATTTTAGAAATATATTTTGTTTTGGGTTCATTCTCCAATAATCCATTAGGAGGATATTTTCAAACTTGTGACAGTGAAACCTGATCTGAAAACGTCACAACATTGTTAAGAGGTTTGTGTAATCCCCCATCCATGACCCGTCATATTTCATTTCAATGTGACCTCCGATAAGAGCTCTAACACCGTCTGCCCTTCTGCCCACTCCACACTTGTTTTAAAAAACAATCATGAATTCATTAAGTGCCATTTTCATCTTTGAGCTCCTGTTGAATTTTCATAAGGTCTCCTCTCCTCTTATTTCCTTCCTCCTTATGACCCACTCTCCAATCTCCCGGTGTGGGAGTCTGGGCTCGCCTCTCCTCTGACATAACCTAGTGAAGCAGGAGACTTGATTTGATGGAACTATGTGCGTACTCATGACGAACGATGGTGAAAGATGGTGGAAAGAGGGACGGGAAAGACTGGTAGATGGGACAGGTGGCGTCCCCTGTTGCTCCTTTTACACGAGCATATCGACCCACTGGGACGGCTACGTAATCTAATAAAGCTAAAAACAGAGCAAAGCATTTCCCAACAGTCCAGGAAAATGACACCACTTAACACCCCCCTCCTCCCCCACACACCCCGAGGGATATATTCAGACAAAATTAGGAAATTGTTCGCTTCTGAGATAATTGCAAATTGGCTCGAGGCTTTTACAGTTCCCTGATGAATCCTCTGAATGAATGAGAGACTCATTCAGAGAAGAAAGGAGGAGGAGGAGGAGGAGGATGGTGTCGATGTTTCACACTTCCTTTTAGTCTCATTCAAGCAAAACAAAAATCTGCCAGCGTGGAGAGAGAAATATTTGACCTGTATCAAATACAAACTGGAGTAAGTGCGATGATCAGCCTCGGCTCAACTGGTTTAAAACCTGCAGTGCAGAACTTCTGGCAGAGACAGCCGTTACACAAACACCGTCTACGCACTGATGACGTACACCTACAGCGTCAGAGATAGTTACAAAATGACTGAGAACGTGACCGTTTCAAGACCATTATTCATAATTTAGGGAACTACTCTAAATATCTGACAAATACCAAACTGTCCCAGAGAGATCATGCAACATCGGCGTCAGGCACCTAGTATCTTCCCCTCCTCTAGCACTCCTGCATTTCTCCTCTCTGCTGATCTCCTTCTTTTTTTTTTTTTGGCCGTAATCCCTCCAAACACCCAGTTTTCTTTTTTTTAACTGGAGCATCAGAAAGTTTTCCTCCGATGCAGTTCTATCAGATGCTGTGGCCTCTTCTGTTTGCTCCCCCTCCTGCTCTAGCTTACCTGACAGCTCGAGAATGTTCCCATGACAACGGATTTAAAAACTTTGCTGTGATACAAAACACAGAGATGCTTAGCATTGAGTTCAAACTTGAATTTTATCTGTTTTTCTAAATGTAAAAGTGAAATACTCTTGCTTTAAGATGAATTATACATTTGTAGTAAATTCCTTGGTCATGCATTTGCATAAAAAGCGACAGTGCAAAAAATAAATAATACATTTCCACTTGTTTTTAAGTTTACGGTTTTGACTCCTATCTAAGAGTCCAGTGTTTACAAGCAGTCCAGCAGTCAAGCAGTTTCTACACTTAAACAAAAGTGACATTTTAGCTGATTCATTTCACAGACAAACTAGGTATTTTGCATTTTTAACTGTTTTGTGGAACCTGAAAAGCCTCGGAGTGTCATGTATGTGACAGGATCCGTAAAGTTACCTAGTGTCATGTTTTCTTTTTTACTCATTTATTTAGTATTTTTGTTGTTTTATTTTGCACTTACCCTTGTCTCTGTCTTTCAGATCCTCCTCCTCAGGGTTTCCTTCCCTGATTGTGCTCACCTGTGTCTCGTTATCCCCTGATTGTCTGTGTGTATATATCCCTGTGTTTCCTCCCTCGTGTGTGTTCCTGTGTGTCACCTTGTTCCAGCATTTTTACCTCTAGTA